AATGGCCAGGCACAGGCTGGGGCTGTTGAATTGTCCTAGAGAATTACATACATGCAGCATATTAGTAGAGCACTTTCAATTTATAAACCAAGGATATAATACCACTGTCTGATCCTTTCTATCTATTTTACTGTTCACTAAACATAGACTGTTTGGATGTTCCCTTTGGTGTGTCATTAATGAGATTTTCTGTATCAAATCTGATGGTCTCCTTTTCTTGCCATGCAGTGTAGAATTCCTCAGCTACTGATTTTTATTTCTCCTCCTCATAAAGGCAAAGAAGAAGAAAACTGGTCATGAAACAAAAACATTGTAAACTAGCAGAAGCTGTTCCTTCCCAAATGAACATCAGAGTCATTTTTCCACAGTTATACAATCTCACATCACAGAACTACCCAAAATGCAACTGTTGCCAGTATGAACTCATGCACTGTAATAAATCCCTCTCGGAAGTGGCCTGTAAGCCCAGTTCATCCATGTCTAGTCTTTTAAACAAGCCTTTATCCTAGCACAGGGAATCATTGATCTGGATCCACAAGAAACTTCTCTGGTCTCTTCCATGAATCTGTTCAAAAGGTTATTAAAAAACACCCCAGAACGCTTCTGTGGCACCAGTTATTACCAGGGAATGAATATAAATAGGATGTTTTACCACTCAGTAGACAAAACTACTGAGTTCAGACTAAACTGATTGCAGTTTGCTCAAAGCATTTATGTCCTTTGCTTCAAGTACATTAGAAGTTAAGAGAAGCCATGTACATTGCTAAGCATTAAGAATCCTCAGGAGTAAGAATTTCCATGTATTATTTCAGTGATATTCTTATATCATCTTCCCAGTACCCTGTCCATTTGGAATATTACTGAGGCATGACACAATGCAATAAGCACCTCACATTTGCACAGTAGGAAATACTGTGAAACTCACAAAGTGTCTATTTGACCATGAGTATGTGTGCACAGGTTTCAACAAGAAGAACCAAACCACACACAAATAACTTGTTCATGAGCACAGTTAAACCTAAAATTTTTAGAATCCTGTGAAATCCTTGGATTAACTCTCCAAATCCCAAACAGCAGGATTCCCAGTATGGCTATGATTTAATCCAGAACCGTTAGGTCTTTGTGATTATTTAGAACATTTTACAACTGTCAACCAACCTGACTTTAGGGCTGCCATTCCAATTCTGATGTTACCTTGGTAAAGAAGAAATAGAATAACAGGTGACAAATATTTGTTGCCATTACAGATCTAAAAGTCCCTGCGCAAAATTGAACTTCATAAACATCAAGCCACATTCCCTTCACTGCTGCTGAGACCAAAGGGACGCTGGTCACTCAAGGATACAGTACTCACCCAGCTCTGAAGGTTCATCCTGAGGTTACCTCTCTATTTCCTAGAGGCCAACAAGTCACCACAGGTCAGGAAGCCCTTCAAGAAAGAGGCCAGCTCTGGCCACAAACTGACCCTGCACTGACCTCTTTAGTCTGTCAGCCCAGCATTATCCCAGATGCACAGCTCACTGGATTGGGAAACCAGATTCAGGTTACAAATAATCTCTCCTACTTTAGCCCTGATTGCCCGGTCTCCAAAGTACTTCTACTGTACAAGGGCAGGGACAACATGCAGAAAGGAGGATTTATCCATGCAGCTTAGAATGTTACGCCCTTCACCTTACTACAGAGATTAGACTAATAATTAATTAGTCTAATCAACAACCAGCTGCCAGTGAAAATGGCTTTTCCCATCTCTTCCCTTCCCCTTCCATCAGCAATTCTTCTCTACTTCTTCAGCTGATCTGACCCAAACCTGAGCAAATTTAGAGAGCTAAACATACAGAAAACAATACACTCTGTTTATATTGTTACCTTCCTACCAATTTAGGTCACTGTTACAGTGGCCTGAAGAGTGCCCCTGCTGACAGGACAGGAATGCTCAGGTGTAAATTCAGGGAGAAGAACAGAGAAGTAGTCAGTCATTAAATCAGGTAGGTATATTAGCACCTTGAGTGAGGGGTAGACAAACAGAAACAACTCCATTTTCCTTCTATCAGCTAGAAACTTGAGAAAAAAGACATTAATATTTCCTTACCTCCAGTTATTTGACTTTCTTTGAGTCACTGAGTAAGTTCCCACCCCATGTTTTTTTTTTACTCGTGCCAGCAGAAATTTCCATGGATTCCATGGAGCCAGGCTATTCACTGTCCTCATAACTATCCCCCTGCTATGACACCAGCCATGAGGAATGTGTAAGAAACACACCACACAACACTCATTAGTTGTGCCAGATAAAAACTGACAACTCTTTTAAAAGAACAGAGACACATTGAAAGAAAAATGTCTTCAAAGCACAGTCTCACTTAATTCCATTTAAGACAATGAAATTAGAGCAATAGTAATGCATTAATTTTAACTGGGGATAATTACATTTAATTAGTTATGTTGATTTAATTACATAGGAAGAGAGATGCATTCTGACAGCACTGGAATGCAGGATGGGACAAGAAATGCTCCAAGAACCCTGTCAGAAATGAAAGAATCCACATGATGAGAAACAGGAGACAAAGGAATTACCCCAGACTTGATCTGTGGCTCAGTCTAGTATCTGTCCCAGATGACATAAGCACATAAGCTTCAGAAGGTAAAAACATGCCCCAAAACAAACAAAACCACAAAGAAGTGTTGGAGGATGAATCTACCCTCAAGACCACAGTGTAATGTAATGGTCTCTTCAACACAAAGATGTCTCACATTCCTTATAATATTTATTAGCAATAACTAGTGGATATGCTTCATTTGTAAGCCAACTGGTTTCTAGATTTTCCCTTGAACTCCTTTCTTAATCACTGTAGTGGCTGAATTCCACTGTCTAATCATACACAGGATAACAGGCTTAAGGTGGATAAAGAAGCAGTAGATATGGTGGCTTTAATAAGACTTTTGATGCTGTTGCTGGATAGGAATGTATCTTAATACCCTGTCTAATACCATAAGCTGGGTCAGACGAAGGTCGGGTGAAACTTCACTCCCTATAAGAGCAATTACAAATACATTATTGTCAAAACAGAAAGGGATTTCAAACATGGTCAAAATGATGGCAAAGGAAGCATCAAAGGTGATGAAAAACTCTCAAAAGATACTTTTCGTTATGCAATCTGGTGGGGAAGAAAGGGACGTCTGGCTGGCTTCCCCTCTTGTTCTCAAAGAGCATGGCAGTCATAACAGATCCTCATCAGGGATAGCCTGTAGCTAGGAAATTGTATTGAAGAACCCACACAAACAACGTTTGAAGAATATTTATTTAATTTTATTAAATGAATCAACATGGAAATCTATGTGTTTGCTATACACAAAAACTTCCACATGCATAAATGTGTGTCTCAATCTTTCTTCGGTGATCCTCTAAAGGTTAACAAGGCTAAGGTTAGGGATCACTGCTGCTTTGTTTTGGCATTGTTTGTCTTTTGGGTTTTTTTGTTTGTTTGTTTTCCCTGTGTACCACCCTCATTCCATAAATGGCCAGGCCTAGTCTCAGATTGCTGGATCCACCAAATATCAGTCTCTTAGTTGATTTCCAGAGCGTAACTTTCCCCTGCCGAGTTTGCCTAAATCCATCTCGTTAAACAGCAGCTCATATACGTAAGAAGAAAAAAAGATAAAACAATAGAGGATTTCTGGGTCTAGTCAGCAGCTCAGTTCAATTTCAGTATCAGCTCCAGATTAACACTAGCTCTTTGAGTTCACCCCTCCACTCCCGGTACCAAGCAGACCTTTATAGGGAATTACACGGCCATTCCTTAGAGCCTCCGGGAATGACGAGACTGTTCAGCGCCTGCTGAAAGCTGAAGGAGCGGGGCAGTGGCGCACGTCACCAGAGGAACGCGAGGAGGATGGGGACACGGCCCCGCCGTCCCTTCCCCTTCCCTGCCGGCACTCGCCCGTCCCCACGGCGCGTCCCCGCCTTCCCGCCCCCTCCGCGGCCCGGCTACAGCGACGCTCCCTCGGCCGGGACGGGCCCCTCAGCCAATCACCTCCCCTCTTCTTGGCCCGCCGGCCAATGGCGAGCCGCCGTGCTGCGCGGTGCCGCGGCTCCCTGGCACCGCTTCCGCCCGGCGTCGTTGCCATGGGCACGGGGGAGCCCCGGCCCGGCCCGCCCCAGCAGCGCCCGGGCCCGGGGCAATGAAAACAGCAGCGGCCCGAAGGGAGTCCAGAGATTGTTTATTGCTTTTACCAACTTTCTGAAACGTTACAAAAGATAGCTTTATTCTAACAGTAATTAAAACAACACAAAGGCTGAATCACATTAGAGACAAGTCTGAGAGTTGTTTTCTGTATCAACTGAATATTGATTCTAAAGTTGGAATAATGTTTTCATTTGCTTTGGATTTGTTTATGAAGTAAGAAAATGTCACTGTAATTAGAAAAGCAGTCATAAAAAATTCGAACCATACAGTATGTAATCACATTTCAAATAAAGAATATTAAAATCAAAACCATAGTTCAGCTGCAAAAACTGAACCTGGAAGACACCTTTGCAAAGGAGCATCAGCAACAATAGAAAGGAAATTACTAGAAATGATGTGTCTTTCCAATAAAATCATTTAGAAAAGTATTGATTTTCAAACTCATTCATTATTCCAAATAAATGTCAACAGATACTAAATGCAATATGAAAGTGTCTTTAGGCAAAGTTCAATGCCAACTACAAAGTCCTATGAGTTTTCACTAAAAACATTATAAAATAAAATTCACAAACTCGTGGAGCAATTTGCTTTATTTATAGCACTACACTTATGCTGACTCAAAGCTGTGTGCATCTATAGTCTTAAAATTTGCCATAAAATAAATTACTGTTGGTATAAACAAAGTATTTCCCACATTTCATTGTACTTGATAATTTTGTCCTAGATGAATAATTAAAACATTACTAATCATAAGAAAGCAAAAAGACAACTAAGCTGCTGTGGTGCTCGCCTGACAGATTACATTTGTGAACTGAGAGCATGAACCATTCACTTTATGATTTACAGAACCTATGTACAAGACAAACCCTTTAGAGCAGCACAGGCTCTGCAACGTGACCCATTTGGTACAGAAATATTTTACAGCCTGTCGAACCTGCCTTTGCAAAGGGCATGAATTAGGAAGTGGCCGTATAAAGACAGAGATGCAGATGAAGCAAATGATAATTTATGGGAGAACTTGCATTAAACAAAGAAAAAAGGGCAAAGATACTTGGTTGAAAAAGATCCCAAAGTCATTAGGGCACCAAGTTCTACCCTGACAGGTTTTATGATGACAAACTTGGCAATTTGGAACATTTTGCGGAACAATTGTATAAAATATGTCAGAGCTGCAAAGTTCATCTACGAGGAAATTGTTGTTTACTTGGGCATATGTAAACAGAATGTAAAACATGTCACTGTAATGCATACGAAAACGGTAAAGAGTTTTTTATAATATAATTTAAACACAAAACTGCATTTTAAGAGATACATTTTAGATTATATTTAAATGGAGTGGTCAAAAAAAAAAAAAAAAAAAAATAAAAAAAAAAAAATTTAAAAAAAAAATAGAAAAAAAAAAAAAAAAAAAAGGAAAAAGAAGGGGGGGAAAAAAAAAGAGGGACTTCCTGAGGTGGCTCTGCAGCCAGGTACACAGTAGCACTAAGCTCCATTCCAGGAAACCAAGGCATCTATAAAAAGTGCAGGGCTGTTTATTTTTCCTCTAGATGTTGGAATAGAAATCCATTGGCGTAGTTTTACAGGGCTTAAGCCCTATGAAAAAAAAATAAAAATCAGTGCACAGCATTTGTCACTGCTCTTTTGCATCCATTAAGGCAAAACATACATCTCCATACAATAAACTACATCCTTAGCTGTTTTACTTTAATACTATGTGTGATTTTAAAGCAGAGAAGGTGTAAAATGAGCAGTCAATCACTTAACCATACAATAGCAACAGGGATTTACGCACTTAATACCATGTCTTCTCCTGTTCATATGGGAAGAAAGTGCAAGTATAACTATTGCCCAAGAACCCTGGAACTAAAGGTCATTGTAAACTGGTTTGCCAAGTCATGGTATTTCTGGCACTGATTAAAATATCTACACAATTAAAATAAATACTGTGATTAGACTTGTGGGGCTTTGGTTTTGTTTCTTTTCAACATTACTCAAAATATACCCACTTCCTGTAATATTAACCAAAACGTAACCCTTCTGAAGTAGAAATCAAATACCAAGTGTGCAGCACCATGGAACCCTGATTTCCAGTTTAAAGAGTTCTAAATCCAAGAGGCTTCTAGTAAATTTTTTGGGTCTTTGGAAACCATTGCAGGACTCAGAACAGGAAGCATAAAATACTATTGGGAGGACAGAAGTACTGTATTGTGGATGATACTACATGAATGCTCAAAATTTCTCTTCCGTCCTCGATTCAGAGGAAGAGGTACTTAGTAGTCAAATACTGACGTGCAGATGGGTGTTGTTGGAGGTTTTTTTAAATGTAGAAAATCTGGAGAAACCATCTGCTGTAGTTTCGTTGTTATCTCAGTTTGATCAGAGGGAAACCATGGGCTGTTTTCTGAAAGAGCACAAAGTCAAACTAAGGCACAAGCTACACAACTATCTAAGAATGCAGGTCACTACACAGTATTGGTCAAACTGGTAATGCAGACCTCTCTGGCTTAGCCCCTGACCCGAGCCTGTTATGACAGTTTGGATACCATTATTCATATTGCTGTACACTATGATGTCCTTTCTTTTAACTGTCTTCTCAGAATTCAGTTAAATGAAAAAAAGGAAACCAAAAGGTTAAATAATTGTATTACATTTAAAGGGAACAGCAACAGTCCATGTAACGTAAATACTATTTTTAAATGTTTCTATTTATTCCCACTGATTGCTTTATTTTTGTAATATACAATTACCTTCTCTACAGGTGACACTTGGCTGAAGAGCACCAAAATTCCACCTCAAGTAGTATTTTCAGATAAAGTCTGCCCTCCTCCAGAATCAGCTCCTTTTGCAATTGTTGAGAATTTTATCACTTGGTCCATGGTAAAACTCCCAACTCTGCCAAAAGCAGAATTAAGCAAACAGCATCTTCTAGTATTAAATGAGCACAGATTCTAATTAAAGCCATTGTAATGCATCCAGAAAGGGCTAGTGGCAATTCAGAATGTAAAGAGATAATGTTGGAAATTAAAGCCAAAAAAGCTAAGGCATAAGGCAAAAAAATATTAAGAATGGAAACTGCACAGTAAGTGATCAAGATTTTCATTTATATATAAAATTCTCATTATTTCAAATATTATAATGCTCAACACTAGAACTTGAAAATGTAAGTACAATAAAAGCACTGACTGCACCTTTATCAGTGGAGTCCCCAAAAAATCCCACTTATTTTAATAAATGAATATTTATTTTTTCAATTCATCTTACATGATAGAAATTTATACTAATTAAAATAAATAATGTGTTTAAAAATAAGTTGGTGTGTTACCATATATGCCCTTTACAATGGAGAGGATCAGAACTGTACATACAAATACCACGAACAATTAGTAATCCATAAAATAATACTGATCATAAACCTACTCCAGAACTGAGCTACATCTAACTTAATCAAATACACAGTAAATTTAAAAATTTATTAATCAAGAAGTATATTTGATGAAGATATGAAATACTCTAAAATCTTAAAGCTGAATAAATCAGACACTGAAAGTCTATGGGTTAAAAGGTAAGCAAAAACAGGAAGAAAAGAATTCAATAGTACTGATGTGGTAAGTACTTATAATTTCCTATAGACCAATTGCTGCCTGTAAATCCAATTTATATTGTGTAAACATGGAGTGTCCAGAATGGCAAATACTGACTTGGGACTGTAACTACCATTACTGCACTCATACTGCTACTGGACAATAATGAAAACTCAGAAGAATTAAAAAAAAAACCAACAAAGAAAGCAGCACACCAGGGTATTTAGATACATTTTAAGGCTTAACTAACTACCTGACTTAGGCTCTAAGCCACTCCTGTACAGAAGGAGAGACAGAATCCAAAAAACACTAGCATGGAGTGGAGACATAAAACACAGTAGTTCTTGTCAACAGCACATGAACATTTGTTCTATGAAACCACAAAAAAAGTATACCCTGAAAAAACAAGTACTAATTGCCTGCACAGGAAACAAAACTTCTGTAGCGCACATTATAAACAGAGGTATTGCAAAATGTTAAGCAATGTGGACCAGTAATCATCAGCAAAAGCTGATGTAACTTATATGCACATATTGATTATTGAAAAATAAAAAGCATTCATTACAGTCTTCCTATTTAAAAATGAAAATAAAATTTCCAAATAAAATAAATAGCTGAAGTGTGATTACCATTCATCTTACTTGCTGGGAAAATCTTCGCATTATGCAAGCATATCTACAGTGCCCTAAACAATGACAGAAATTAAATACATGTTGCTCCTTAAACTGGAAATCACACTTCCATGGTATAATATCCTACAGTGATATATATACACACACAAATACACGCAATTCCCATTGGTTCCATTCTATAAAGATGTTTCAGCATCCACGTATCTCACAACAGGTGAATTTTCCACTTCTATTTTCACACTTTCTGGTTTTTCAGGGCTGTTTGAAAACAAAAAAGAAAATGTAAAGTCTGGCGCACTTTAGGAAAGGTTAAATTTCAAATGTTTTATACTTCAAAATGAACAGTGAAAGTATTTACATAAGGATGTTTTTATAATGAGGCATTTCTATTACATTTTAGTAACTGTTAAATAATATTCACAGAAACAGTACAAACTTAAGAGAGAAATCACGAATACCTCATTCATAAATACCATATCCAATTCCGCCGCTTTTATTGATTTGAAACTGTTCACACAAAACATCTTGAAAAACACACAAACCAACCCCCAACACAGCCTGCAAAACTTAGGTAAAAGTACTCAAAAAGACATAACAAGCAATATTACTGTATGTCTTTTGGGCAGGGAAACCATCTGTTCACAAGGATGGGAGGACATTTCAGTCAGTACAAAAGGGGAAAACATACTTCCAACAACAGCAGAGGACAGTTAGAAACTTGTCTAAGTGTCCATTCAAGTGAAGCAGAAGACCCTAAAGACAACCTGAACACCTGGCACCTGAACAACTGACACTCTCAGGGACACAGACACTGAATAATGCCTGACTGAAGGACAACAAGGGATGTCCCAAGGTAGTTGGAAATCAGTATAAGATGAAATAGAACAGCAGAAGAGGAGGGCGAGTTTCAGAAGAGATGATGCATGTGTAGAGTTGCTCTTCAAGGAAAAAAAAAAAAAATCAAGCAAAAAAAAAAAGTCCGGAACCCCCTAGAAGATACAAGTGTGCTGGGACTCCACAGATTCTGTAAACTACAATAGATGGTTGAGGTAGAAAGAAAAGGCAATCGGGATCAATTTAGAAAAATAAAAAAAAAATTACAAATTTCTCTTTTTTAAAATATATTTTTTTAATAAATCATGCCAACCCACACAAATGTCACCTGGAATTATAAAAGACATGCCTCCTTTGAAGTACACTAGTATTTGAATATAAATCTAAAAACAGCAGTGCCTATAGAACCATTTTCACTACAGCACTACATGTCCATCTGTACCACCAGATGAAGACAGTTATGCAGAAAAATCTTAGTAGAACTCAAATAAGTAATTTACTGGAAATTACTTTTGAATGACCAGTAGTGACACCTCTGAATCTCAAGAGGAGGCAAAAAAAGTATATAAAATAATAAAACCAGCAACCAATTGAGTTGAGCTCAGGAAGTCTGTCTTTCAACATTTTCAAGATTAATGCAATATCAGATTGCCTGTTAAAAAGCTGGTTTCTGGCACCAGTGGTTTTTACTTTCCATTTGTAGTTTTAGCTAGTTCCCTACCAAGATGGATTTTTTACTGTACTAAGATCAAGCAGGGTATGTTATAGAATCAAAGGGAAATGTCCTACAGCAAAACATAATGAATAGAAGGAATAATGAATATAAGGCTAAGCACAACAAAAAAACACTGCAAACTGATCAGAAGCCTGATTTGCTAGTATTGCATATAATTCCATACTAACTTAGCATACTCAGGAAACAGGAAAGTGAGAGATGAAATTGTACTAAATTAGAACTGCCTAACACCAAATCTAAACATTTTAATTCTTCTGGAAAAAGAAATACATGTATGTATCTCTTCAAGCCTTCACTGGCTATCAGATAATTCACTAGAATCATCCACAAATGGGCTTCTTCTATGAATTTAGCAAGAAAGAACAAAACTTATTAAATGAGGAGGGTACACTGACACACAGTCTCTTATATCTTCAATCTGTCTTCTTGATGGACTCACTCATGTGGTATACAAGTTTTTGAAATGTTTAATTAAATGTGTGTTTAACATTTTAAAAATGCTTAAACAATACAGCCTAGACATTCACTGGAAATGGTGCCTGCACTGGTGAGCCTCTTAAGCTTTTCCTCTTACAGTACACCTCAAAGCTCTGTCTCCTTTACCCTTGGCTGACCTGCTGTCTAGCCAAAACAGCATATTTCCATGCCTCGTTTGGAGCAATGCACATGGTGAATAGACAGATGGTATACAAGTGCTAGGTCACTGCTAGTGCTTCCAACAGTACCTGAGATGGCTTGGACAGAGCCATGAACAGAGTAGGAATGCTCCAGCCTTGGACAGAGTATGAACACTCCCTCCTCACCGTGAACACTTTCACTGAGATGTAATTTTATACAAAACCTGACAATTTTGTATCTCTCAAATGTCTTTCTCTGACAGAACTGGCTGAAAAGGATCAACCAATAGAAGATGCGCACAATAGACAACAGAATTGCTTAGGTTTAGTTTTCTGAAGAAGGCATGCCCATTCTCCCCTTTCCTACATAAAAAGTACAAAGCAACAGCTACGTGGATTATGAGCAGTCCACAGATACCAGTCCCTAAAATTATAAGCCTTTGAAGAAGCTGGGGATATTCTGGAGACAAACAGTCATGTCTTGGCTTGTTTCTCTAGATAGATTCAGACAGACAGGGAAGAAATTAGGACAGAATAGCAGAATGATCTATCACATTCAGACTTTGTTCTTTGATGGGGAGCTCACAGAGAAGAAAGGATACTGGACAGCATAGAAGATGTGTGTCAGCTTACAGGGAATGTTCACAGCACTGAGGACTCATGATTTGCCCATGTATTTCATTCAAGTATATTTCAGATTCAATGAATATAGTATTTGAGACAGGTTTAATTTTTAGATATTAAAAATGAGTTGATGAAAAGCAAGGCACTCACCCACAAAAACAGGGCAGATCTATGGCAATACAAAGCAAAAACAAAAGTGCTGGACTTACCTTGTATTCTCAGGGGAATTTGTATTATTCAGCATCAAACCATGCTCATGTACACTCTAGTATTTAGAAACCCTAAGCTCATCAGAGTAATAAATGCTTGTACTATGTAAATAAATAGTAATTTAAAAATTACTATTTAAGATTATACATTAAAAAAATAGTAATAAAACAATTCCTTGTAGAAACTGATAAACTTCAGAGTAAAGAGGGAGAATTAAGCTCAAATCCAAGTTTTTCTAAAGTAAGAAGCAAGTAACTCAGATTTATAAACCACATTTTTTAAAGATATTGTTCAATAAATACAAGTACAGCTGCTAAACATAAGATGATAGTTAGAAAAGGTGTGAGTAATTATAGCTACCTCAAGTTAGCTCTGGTTACTTTGGCATTCTCAGTACTCATGGCAAGAGCCTTCCACTGTGCAGTTTTGGCCATTTCGTCTGATATGTTTACAACTGAGGGATCAATGCTAAAGAACAAACATACTTTCTGGTTAGTATTCAATTCCTAGCAACACTATTATACTTACTTTCACTCATCATTTACATCAGTTGTGCCTTCTTCCAATATTTACACAGCCACAAGTTGAGCTCATCTCTTAAAAGGATACTTCAACAAAAACCTGAAAATTTAACTCACTAGCACTACCATAATTACACATCATTTCAAAACAGGTTTTCACATAGATTCCAGTAAGATATTGAAAACACTTGAGAGGTAACCCAGGCCTAAGTTCAGAAAATTATTTTGCATGCCCAGAAATAATGAATTGAATCACACTGTTGTGCAAAAGCTTTCACTAATCAGTTACTTTAAGGGGCTTCTAGGAAATAATCAAGAGCAAAAGAAAAAAGTTTAATGAAATATCAAAAATTCAAGTGAGATTTTAAACTCTTAAAAATCTAGAAATTCCAATTATCTTGACAGATAAATGTGTTTTTTTTCCCTCAAAAGCCTTATTAGATATTTTGCAAGGTTCTTTTGCCAACCACCCATCTCCCAAGTGCTGCAGAAGATAAGTTTATCCTCATAGATGATAAATTTTAAAGCCTGTTTCCACTTTAATCCTCCACACAGTTACATGTACAACACTCAGGTGTAGTCTGTTGCCTGCTTTCTGTTCTGTTACTTATTTAAGCTTCAGAATATACCCCAAGTCATCTCTAAGTTTTTCAAATGGCAGAAAAAACTTTCAAAGCCATTTTTCCTCAGGGATCCCCACAAGACATACAAAACAGCAGAATACATACAAAATACACAGTTGATGAAGTCACAGCTCTACTTGAGAGCAATTAGTAACTCAAATGCTGGGTTTTTTTTAAAAAAGCTTTACCATTTTCATTCAAGTTGCTTAAGTCTGATTAAGCCTGCTCTCAGAATAGACAACAGCACTCAGCAGGTGTATCTGTCTAATCCAAATTTCTGTCTGTTCCCAACTCACATAAGGGCATACCCTAGGTACTACCCAACATGTAGTAGTGATGTAGTACCCCGTATTAGGTTCTACCCTAGATCCATAGGAAGGCAAAATTTTAAAATAGGAACCCTTAAGTATTAAGAGAGGAAAAGAAAAATTGTAACCTATTTATCTACCACATCTTAAAGTCGTGTTGAACAGCTAAGAATACCTGACAACTCAGCTAAATACAACACCAGTAAGGGAGACACCAACTGAGAAAATGCCTACCAAAGCTGAAAGCATTTCCATTACTGAAATTCCAGTACTTCCTTTTCTGGAAGAGAATCTATTTGTACATTTATGTTCAGAAAACATAATTTCCAAGTAAAAATGGCTGCCTGTAAAATGTTTTTTTTTGTACCAAAGAAATTATTACTTTAGCCTTTGCTTAGATAAACCAAGTAATTCCACACTTAGATTTCTTCTGAAAATCCCAAGTGGCTGGCAAACACATGGCTCAACTGATGCTATTAGTTGCTTAATGCTCAGCATTTCATGCACAGTAGCACACAAATATTCCATCAAAACTGACCAAGGATGCTTCTTCACCTTTAGTACAGCTGGTGGAAACTGAGTCATCTGATCTGTTCAAGATGGTCATGTAAATTTATAATTAAGATGCAGTTGTAAAGAACAATGCAATATACAAATACTAATGTAGCACCATGAGATAGGTGTTCATGTTTCCTAATCATGGCTAAGTTACCAGCTTGGGGAAAAAAATGATTTCAACTCATACACAACCAACTTAATATAACACAGATAAATATAAATATATAAGGCAAATTACAGACTTAATATAAAGCAAATTACAGGCTCAGATAAAAGAACTTTTAAACAAACACATTATTCTATACCTGTATTTCAGGGTTTTTACAGGAAAATCCAGGTTTGCTTCTCCATATGCAAGGTGTACACTGTCACTTTCTGAAAACATTCTCTCTGCTTCCTGTAAATTCCAAGTAACAGGTTTGTAAAATTACTCACATAGCAGAAATCACAACAGTATCTGAAGTTATTCAAGTTATATGACTGGTATTCTGTATGGGCAAAAGGCACTTCCATGTAGGTACTGCAGTTGAATACAGGAGAAAGATCTTATGATCTTTCCTCTTAGAAGTGTTTAATTAAGGCAGGAGGCATGGGAGACTGCATTAAATCCTACCAGCTTCACAAGGATTTTATCTAGGTGGCATACAGCAAGGCAGGACTTTGATGGAGAAGTTCCAAAAGCTGTATTATTGTATTACTAGTAACTAGCAGTTGCACTAAATGACAGCTCCACAAATACACGTGAGTAAAATGTCCCTGATATTATGAACACTTTTTTGACTAATTGAAGCAGAATAAAGAAATCCTACTCCACCACTTCTCTCTCCTTTGTCTCTCGCGCTCCATTTTCTTTCCTTCTTATTTGATGAAAGCCAAAAAACCCTAACATTTTTGTGCTAACAACTGCTTCTTTCCTCTTTGTTTGAAAATTTTGATCACAAATAAGAATCATAGTCTGTAATGGCATAATTGAAACAGTGACTTAATTCCTTAAACACCAGCAACTATTCCTCTAGCAAAGAATTTAATCTCATAAGTGAAGAATTTCAGAATGTGTATCTGGTATATAAGGCCATATGCTCAGGTCACATAAAATTCTTTGAATTGCTTTAGGTATTTTGCTAGAAATTTACAACATGCTCAGTTTGATTGTTTTCACACTTACTTCTTTCTCTTTTATCTTTTCATCATCATCTCTCTTCTTTTTACTTTCTGGCATAAGATCATCAAGCCAGCTAAGCTCTTTTTTGGTGAAACATAAATCCATGAGCTTGCGAATGAACACTAATGCTAGAACCTAAAGGGAACCACAGACAAAGTACTTTATTTCGAACTATTTAAATGAACAAAAATGCACACACACTTTCAGTACACTCAGAATCTGTAACTGAAGCCCCTTTTTCTAGTACTAGATGTTACCTTACTGCAAAGGTAAATTATTTGCACTTTCAATAGCTATTCACAACTGAATTGCTTGTTTGCAGGAAATGAGAAGTCTTTTGTTTCAAAAGTGAATAGCTTGTACTACAGGGGCTTTTTGTTTCTTTCCCACTCCCTTCTTTCTTAGAGGCAGCAAACATCTTCTCAAGAGACCCTGAATAATACATGCTGTTTAAAAAATTACTGTACAGAAATTATTAACTTGCAAACCAGAAAACTTACCATCATAGGGAAAACAACAGCAGCTGCAGAGGCTTTGATCACCCACAACAGAACTAGACAAGTAAGCTGAACAACTGTAAAGATATGGACCTTCCAGAGTGGCACATAACGTAGGTAAATCAGGTCAGGCTGATGTTTGGCAGGCATTCCAAACAGTTTTATACGGTCAAAAAACTGCATGGAAAATAAAATCATTCTTCAGTTATTATTTTTTGCCTCTCCAGAAGAAAAAAAAAAAATTTTAGGCGACTACAGAAATGTAAGATAATCCCAAATTAAATACTAATGAAAGACAGTGAATGTTCAAGGGGGTAGAACTGGTGGGGTGTTTTGCATGGGTTGTCTCCCACCCCCACTAATAATAAAAAATTCAAGAATATTTCAGAAAAATTGTTTCTTAGCTACACTGTTGAAAGAATAAATAGAAAATAACTGATAAGGGAAGACATAATATTTTAAGAACAAATACCTGAACATGACACTCAGGAAATTATCCTACATGCTATTCAGACAATATGGAACAACTTTATTGTGGCTCACATAATGCAGGGTGTTACAGTTTCCTTTTCATTCAGTGTTAAACAAAAGCAAACTGCTCGTTAAAATCAGACTTTACCTGAATGCCTTTTAATGAAGATACTCCCATGTAAAGAAAGACTCCATACAAAACTGGCATTGGAATAAACTGGGGAGGAGAAAACACCCACAGTTAAAAGTGGAATCAACATGACACAAGAGAGCAGTCCGTAGCAATGACAGACACAGACCAAGTTGTTTTTTACTTTATATTTTACTTAAGTGATATCTGAGGACTTTTATTTAAAGGAACGCATATATGTAATTGAGCAACAAAAAACCCTAGCACTAACAAGGCTATCACCAGAATAAAAAAGTAGTTCTGCCTTGACTGCTCATCCACTCAATTTTCTAGGTTGCAAGAAAAATTTCTATTCATGCTAAGTATACTGCTTTATGTTGCTATTTGATAGGAACGGTATCAAGACTACTGTATTCTGTACAACTTCATGAAATTGCCACATTATAATGTAGTACAGTGTGATGTTATATTTTTATATAATTTAAAGCTAAGATAACAAAATTGTCCACTGATTTCAGTGGCACTTGCATCAAACCTTTGCAATGAAGCCTTCTTTGCTCCTGCATTCATTAAGATTCCAAATAAAGGACAGCCAAGATACAACATGAAATCTTAATAAAAACTGCTACTATTAAGACTGAACAAAAGCCTTTATTTAAACAGCTTGAAATAAAATTATTAGGAATTTACTACTGCATCTGTGTGTGTGTGGCTAGTGTCTTCACTCTAAGTTCTGTAATTTCATATAGTATTTTCTACTGCATTAAATCAGTATAAATCCACACATGGAACAAAAGCACAGCAACTGACAGATGCAAGGTTTTGTTCTCCTTCCTTCCTTTGAACAATAACAAAACAAACAAACAAACAAACAAAAATTCCTTAAACAGCAAAGAGTAATATTTCCATTCCTATTACCCTGGGCACATAAACCAAAAAGTATTCGTTTCTAAGAAAAAGAAGTTAAAATAAGGGGGTTTAAAACACTTTACTTCAGAAACCAGCACTTTTAATTTTTGCTTTTGAGTAACAATAAATCTATTTCAGTGTTTCTGCTTTTGATTCTCATTATTCACATTATACAGCTGAGCTCCTGATAAGTTTTTAATGAGAGATTGTAAAATCTGAATACTGTTTTTTAGTAACTGCTATGGCCTTATTCTTTTCAGACCTTTACATTCTTTAACAGATATACAAATGGTCAACCATTTAAAATTTATAATACATAACTACTTATTAAACTATAGCTACATATTTACCGGATTATTCTTTCCCATTATCTAAATTTGAGAAGCTATGTTTCTTATGAAATTACTTGAGATCTGTCTCTGTTTAAACAGACTTTTACAAAGTTCTTTAGAAATATCAGCAGTTATGCAATATCTACATTTCTGGCAAGAAAAAGATGGTTCTTTCATTTCTGCTTTTAACTACTGGATTTGAAACAACAAAGTAGAAGTTGAACAAATTTTAGCAAATCTGAGCAAAATCCAACTGAATTAAGTAATTTTTTTTCAACAGAGTCATTGAAAGGTCACTAAGGATATAAATTAAAGAGATTAAAGTGTAATGTGATGCTACAACACAACCTGCAAAATCACCATTGCACTGTGATGATGCACAAAATAATCTTGACATTCTAAAAACCAAATTAAGTTTAGCAAACTGAAGAACAAGAAGAGAAAAATGTTATTTCTCCCTTTTAAAGCAATGTTTCTGTTCCTTCTGCTACACTATATTACTTCTGCTCAAGTAACTACTTCACACTCCTTTTCTCTCTTTTACACATTCACATAAAAACTACAGTTTTGAGGTAACATGAACTCAAGAAACTAAAAAAGAGCTGGCAAGAAAATCACGTGAGACAGGAAAAGGTTGCTTTCTTCACTACATTTCTAGCTTTCTCAGATTTCATTTTCTTGCATCCTTCCATATTGTCTCTATTCAATTAACATCTGTTCCTAGAAAAGCAATTTGAGAATGAGTCCAGGTACATCTTACTTAACATAATAGAACTTTCTTGCATTATGAAATGCTAAATCACAACATCAAAAGCACAAAGTAAATATTTTGGGAAAACTCTCTTTTACCTTTAACACAGAAGTCATGGACACTGACATCCCCATCAGCACAAAAATCATCAATCCTGTCACTCGCTGCTCCCGGATTCCCAAAAACTTTGGTTGTTCTCCTGGTGCTGAGCATTCAGATTCAACTTTCAGGCTGTTAACATGACTTATAGACAGGACAGTTGCAGCAACATACCACGGTAAGCCCATGATAGAACATATTCCCAACATAATACCAACCATGAGCAGATCAAGATGATAACCACAGCCTTTCTGTAAAATTAAGCAAACAAATAACCTGAAAAACTTTCTATTTCTATGATCATATGTCTAACTCAGCAGGTGAACAATCTACAACTACAAAAGTCAAATACTTTGAGAACAAATTATATTTGAACAAGTTACATTTGTTCTTGATTAGTCTATTTATATTTAGCAACTGATAGTAATTTCACAAATTTGCAGAATGAGTCTGATTTTCAGTAAATCTGACTTCCACATCATTAGACTTCAGCAAAAATTACTTTTACCTTCAGTTTATGTTCTTTCCTGTTTATAATAACAGCTGTTATTTGTTGATCCATGAAAATAAGAATGGTGCAGAGTAAAGCAGGAAGAGCAGCAATCAAGAGTGTCCACCAAGGATTGCTTCCAAGAGGATCAATGAACCATCCTCGGTCTTTACGGGTGGGCTGAAAAAAAACCAAAAAAAACCAAAAAACAACCCATCAACAATGAATATTAAACTACTAAAATAGAATGCAGATTTTATTACTACAAACAGTTTCAATAAACAACAGATCAGTCTCTTAAGTCTATGTTTAGGTTTTTTTTCCTAATGGCTTTGACCAAAAAATTGATTTAGCTATTACAGGTGAACGTGACATTTATATAGAAAAGATTAAAACAAATCCATTCAATTCCTTCATTTTGTACATTTGCACAAAGAATGCTTCCCTTTCAGTAATAATAAAACACAACTTCCTCCTGTTAGATGAGACATACATCCAAAACAGAAAAGAGAAACTACTTGATCAACTACATTGCAATCAAAAAAGAGAAATTTTTGTTTCTATACAACTCGATTGTTCTTCTGTTTATAAAACTGCAATAATTTTAAAAGTTATGTTTTTCAAAAAGTTTTGTTTCTTACTTCAAACTTCTCTGGAACCTGAAGCTTAGGAGAAGGTACTCCTACAAAATAGTCAATCAAAACCATGATTACTATGGTCAGAAATACTGCGAAGTCACTGATGGTGGAACGGACCTATAAAGAAAAGACTTGTGTTAAGTCTTGCTTTTTACCGTTATAATTTGCATGTGTAGAAAGACGATTTTCTCCCTTATGAAAAGTGAAGTTTATTTATATTATACCACACCACTGAACATTATCTATTTTTTCTTGTTACTTTAAAATTTAAGCTGTCTGCCGCATACTATGAAGTTGCACAAGACAAGTATTCTGTACAGCTGTTCACTCATTTAAGCAACTCCATCATTTTCCTTCTCCCCTCAATCCCATTAGGAGGCTTAGCCATCACAGCTAGTCCCTGGTACCTTAGGTCAGTAATATTCATATATTTCATGTTTTAATCAATAGGAGGCAGATAATATGCAATACTTTCATATTATCGAAGATAACTTTATTAAACATTAGGAAGACATTACAGGGATGAGCTGAGGTTTATAGCAGATCTAACCACTTCATTTTGCCTAGCAGAAGTTACATAAATCAGTCTAAAAAGAATCATCACATTAATATCTATTAGAAATAATAATCCCCTGAGGAACCACTCAAAACCCAGTAGTTTAGGGAAAGTAATTAATTGTTTTGTATGGCTAGGTGAGGAAAAAAGCAGCAATATTGTCTCTACTAATGCTACCTGGCAATACTGATTAATGTGGTGAAATGGACTACTTAGGTCTTTCAAAGTTTAGAATGTTTTGTTGTAACTCTACAAAAATACAGAATAAGCACCGAATTTTCTGCAGATTATTTCTTTCCTCAAATGTCCTAAATTTTGTAATTATTAGCTGAATTTTGGGTTTTAATTTCCTTTCCTGCCTTAAAACAAATCTCTCAAGACAGAATTCAACTCAATTAAATTATACCAAGGTTTATATTACAAGGTAACAACAGTGTATTCTCTAATCAGGATTACCTTAGTTGGGAAATAGCGTTTGGTCTTGAATTTCTTAAGGAAAGAGGAGAGGAAAAATGTTGCAAAAAATAGTATGACAGACCAGAAGAGAACATCTGGAATGTATGGTCCATGATGGCCACAAGCTGATCCACGAAACACACCATGATATTCTAAACATTCCTGCAAAGAGAAAAGCTCTTAATCTATGTTTTACTAATTCAGTACACTCAACCAAGCTTCCAACTTTTCTACATAAAACACATTTGAGAAAGTTCATAATTCCAAAAAGGAGGTTCTTTCCTTCATCACTACCTCACCCTGAGAAAGCCAGATATATGTGCTGTCTGTTCCAGAAAAGCCACAGTAGCCACCACTGATTATTTCAAAATGCTGGGAGATGCCCAAGAAGAAACAACTTCTTTACAGTCACATTACTTCTATTCTGTTTTTCAAAGCACTGAAAGAAAGCACTGCCCGGGAAAAGCAGAATATCCAACATCAACTTTAAGCTAACAAACATAAAAAAGGATCTCCTCAGTTTCTCCTATATCTTTGACTTTGTTTTGCTCAGTTAAGGGAAAAAACGTAAGTCTTAAAAAATAAGATTATCCAAATAATAAGTAAAAGTTTCTAGCAAAGTAGGCTAGCATTGTGAATAATGGCTTTAAATTAAAAAAAAAAACCTAAGTCAAATGATAGTTATCAAAAAATTTACTGAAATGCAAAGCAAAAAGTTCAAGTAAATACACAGAGTACAAGGAAACAACAAACCAATAATTCAAGTAGCTGGAAGCAGCACTGCACTAACCTAATTTATTATTTAATTCATTGAAAATTTATCTCATGGCAAAAGTTCTCCCTTTTAACAATCTAATTTGGTTATAAGATAACACGAAATCCTGGATCAGTTCTGTCTCTCAGGTAAGACTAAAGATTCTTTAGAGGTAAAGGCATATAGATGAAAACACATATAAAATAAAAAACAAATATAAAGGAAATATAAAAACTAAGTTCAAAAGAAACTGCCATCCTAAGTGATTATGGTAAACAAGGAGTCATTGGTCGCACATAAACAGCCCTACTACAAGTCAAGTAAAGCACTGAGGTTTTACATGGAATTTCTGCTGTGCAAAAGAGTGTGAATGTCTATGCCCATACACAGATATCCACTGCTGTTCTAGACAGCCTCAGATGGCCAACCCAGCAAGCATAACAAAAACAGCAGCAAATCCAAATCATTCAAGATGCAGCTGGGAGTCAGATGCCAGTGTAATCAAAACAGTTGCACACAACTGCATTTATTCCACTGCACACTGCCCAAAAAAACTAATTATCAGCGAAAGTGTTTCTCTCTAAAAGCTTTCCAGAGCACTTGCACATGGTAACTTTCTTCCTCTTCACCTACACACAAAATTAGATACTGGTATAAAATATCCACTTCATAAATTAATACTTTCAAGCCTATTCTGAATAGTTGCTTTCAATTTCAGATAATTATTTTCTTCCAATCAATATTTAGGTAGTTCCTTTCATTCTGTAGGGAGTTTCGTACCAATGTCTAATAAACTAATGAAATATATTTACTACCACACTTCAACTACAAATTGCATCATCACATCATATTAAAAATACTTCTTTCAGGAACTGGAAGAAAGCAAACTCCTGTTTATTCACCTCATCATGTTCACCTTCAGGAAGAGTACTGTGGTGCCTAAGAGCATTAAGGTGGCTGCCTTAAGCATTTATATTAGTATTTACTTCCCTGGACTCACTTATCTAGTCCTCTACCATGACTATGTAAAACCTTATGGAAGAAATTAAGAGAGTTCAAAAATACAGTTTTAACAAAAACACTCCAGGTTCAGTTAAGAAAAGAAATCGGATGAAAAAATGCAATAAACACTGGTACCATGCAGGTATTAATTTTTTTATGCATATGCACATACACAGGTACATACACATAGCTTTCAGATACTCACAGAAACTGTAAGATTACTCCATGCTATATCTTCACCAGACTTATTCATACTCCTCCACAAACGCAATGTTTCATTGCTTGGTTTCTCAGGCTTAGAACACACACATCTGAAGAGAAGAAGAAAGTTTACATGCTTTTAAGTTGTATGTGCCAAAATGCAGCAATTTGAAGTAAATTTAAAAATCCTGAAGAGTTTAAGCCAGAGTTTATCCCAAACTTCTATGGAAGAAGCAGAGTACAAGGCTTTTCCTTACATCACATGACCTAGGACTATTGAAAGGGTGGGGGAAATGAAGAATCAGATCACCCTCAAGTAAGACACCATATTTCAGTATGTAGTGCAGTAACTGAAGATATAAATGCTTACAGTGCTCCGCTTTAAAGCAACTGTATACATACTTCTTAGCAATATTTTTGTAGAAGTAAAAATGCCCTTTCCTATTGCAGCATTTTGCAAACTTGCACTGCAGAATCCTTTCTGTCAGACAGGTTGACAGAAGTACAGATCAGATTAAAAAAAAACTCAAAACACAATTTAATGGGATGTTTTCAAATAAAGCTATTCAACTACACCAACTGGTAAGCTTAACACAAACATTTATGTAGAAGAGGATGAAGAGGTAGTAAGCAAGAAATAAGTCTCCTTTTTCTATGAGAATCACTAAAGACACTGAAGAAAACCCCAATGAATCACAGAAGGGAAAATCTGCATCTGTGGTGTGAAGGTAAAGAAGGAAAAAACATTAAATGTGCATGGGCAAAAAGAACCTAGATTTGCAAAGTATAATGTTTGGGGAATTTAGAAAATAGTAAGTAAACAAATTTTCTTTTGTTAACTGAATTCTAAACTAACAGCAATAGGAAATGGGAAAGGAGTGAGAAGAAGTAACTCTTACAAAGCAATTACCAACACAATCATCAGAAGAGAAAGGAATTGCAACAATAAGCATGATAAAACAAATAATAGTTTTTGGTCAAGGCTGCAACATAAAAAAGCATGTTGAAGGGAGACTTGACAAAATTCTCAACAAAAGCAATGAAGATAAAGTATGCCACCAAGTAGACAAGAAGAAATCAGGAAGAGGAAAGAAAAAAACCCACACTCAGAGAAAATATAAGAGTATTTCAGATTGTGTTGTGGTTCAACTAACTGAACATACTTGTTCTGCACCCTTTTCCCCACTAGAGGTTACAGAATGGGGAGAAAAGAAAAGGGAAAGGAGAAAGAATTGTCAACAGCTGGATCTCCTACAGATTTGTGAGAGAAAAAAATACAGGACAAACCCAAGCTGAACACTGTGGCATGTCCCAAAAAAAATAGAGCTAAACCAAATTCAAATCCCACCTTCCCATCTCCTCCCTCACAGCCTGCCTATGGCAAAACACAATCAGGTGCCAAGTGTCTGAAGACCTACAGTACAGTTTCTGCCACCTCAGTGGATTTAACCTGCCCACACAAGTTCAGTGAGGACCCAGAGCCACTGAAACAGAAGGATGGGAAGGGAAGGAAGGGAAAAATAAGGGAGTGTCCTCCCACAGCTCACTCCTGGCAATGTGGCCTGGTCTTAACAGCTGCTAACACAGGAAAGGAACTGTAAATGCCAAGTGTGAACAGAACACAAGATGCAGTCTGACAGGGTCTTTGCCCTTTCCCCCTGGAAGAAAGTACTGAAGAAGCACTGAATGATGGTAAAAGTAAGCAGAGATCTTGGAGGGAAACACAGTAGTCCGGACCTGGTTTGACACTGCTAGAAGATATCCTTTGTGCAAGATGAGCAGTATCCTGGCCAGGCAGAGCAGCTGCCCAGCAGGACAGTGAGTGTTCTGCTCTCCAACTAGGGAATGACTGCCCCAGTGCAACAAGCAGGGACCCTCACCCTGGGGGCACAGACACGACCTCATTGAGGGTCCCTCACCCACACTGTGATCACACAGGTACAACTGAAGTTGGAAGATGAGCATCTCCAACAGGAGGGGAGCACTAACATTTAAACTATTTCATTTAAACGATGAGAAATTAGCAGTTTTCTCTGAGCAACAGTGAACAGCATCTTCATCTGGCAGGTGTGAGCTGGTAAACCAACTCATCCTATTTCATGAAACTATACTTCCTAGAAGTAGCAAGGCAGAAGTCCTGTTCTGACCTTTAGTAAAGCTGTATTAAAGCAAGCTTTGTCACAGGCCCTTATCCCTTCCAACCACCCATAGCTAACACGGAAAATTCAATTCCACAGCATCCTGAATAGAATTGTTTTGAGGTTTCGCATGCCCATACCACTTCTAGCATCCTCCTACCCTTCCTGGAAGTGGCACCCACTGCCATTTAGTAAACAATATGTCTCTCTATATGTTCCTATTTATTTCACTAACAGATAGAAACTTGGTACTTACGAATATGAAGTCAGTTTATTCAAATCATTGTGCATATTGAAAGGATACACTTCTCCCAAATCAACAAGCTTTTCCAATGCCTCATAAATAAAAATGATGCATATGAGCGCTGCAAAAGCTTCCTCAGTAAATCGAGTGATGTAGCACACAAGGCTGCTAGCATCTGTGGCTACAAGCACAATGCATAGAAATGCAGTCCACAGACCAATGCTAGTTCGCAGGGAGAGGTAGGAAAGACCATAATCCCTGTGTGAAGAAAGAAACAAAAAGCATTAACTGAGCCAAAACCCATCTGTATTACATTTTATTTGAAAAGACATAAAGGCCAAGCTTTATAGGTATTCAGCACTTTTCTCATGCTTGATATTAGCTCTGAAGGAAGCAGAAATTTTTTTTTGTCTCATCTCCCACCAAAGCAAAGCAACACTGCAAGGTGTTTCTAAGATTGACAGTGCAACTACCTAGCTTGGGAAGCATCATGGGGATGAGTCTCTCCAGAACTACCCAGATGGTTTCTCCTAGAGGGTAGATCGATCTCTGCTTATCCCTGCAGAAGCAAAGCCAACAACTTCACACAGTCAGAATATAACTTTTACTTGAGTCCTTGCCACTTCTTATCACTGATTTTCTCATTCAAGTTTGCTAGTGCCTCACAGCTTTATCAAACTATATCAATTTCTCAGTTTCTTGACACTATATTTACCTTAATGGACATACACATTTACTGTACATCTGCTTTCAATCACAGCTATTGTAACAGGCTAGAATGTTAAAAAGTTCATCAAGCCAATATAAACATCACTTACCTGCAAAATTTGAATAATATTTTTTCAAATACTAGAACTGGTCCTGTGCTTCCCAAGATAGTAAGAGGTTGCCCAGCAAAGAGAGAATAGGCAATCCCAGTTAATGAGGCTCCAAAGAGAGACTCTATTGCACTCTGTTTGGGGGGGAAAAAAAAGCTATAACTGCTGCCTTTCAGGTTAGCATTTAGCATCATTATCTTCATAAATACAGCTTTAAGATGCATTAACTTAGGAACAAGACAAGATGTAAACACATTGCAATTAATATCCATATTTGAGACAATAAAAACTGTTTTACAGTAACAATACCATGAACAAGATTTTGAAAACTTCACCCCTGAGAAACATAAAGCCATCCAAAACCATGACAACAAATTACTAGTCCTGCTAGCTCTGGAGGAAAAGCATACCAACAATTATACAAATTTACAAAAAACAAAACCAAACCCAAAAAAACCCAAAACAAACCCCAAATAAACAAAAAAGAAAATAGCTACTCAGCATGTTGTTTACAGAAAGAATTAATGGTCTCTAGAAAGAAAACAGATATTTGTATTGCACCATACCTACAGTGTGCTGCATCAAACCTGCATCAGTCAACCAAGCATTACAAAA